ATAGAAAGAACAATACATTGAAGTTGAAAAGGTCATGGGAAACGTCTGAAAAATTCTAGTGCTGCTCTCTAGAGCTAATTGAGGACATGTTTTATCTATCTTAATGACCACCTAAATCAAACAAGTGACTTTTTCATACTTAAAGCAAAACAAAAGAACACCATGTAATCATTGCATGCTTGTGGGAAGAAAAATTCTGAGATGTCATCTATTTCCATGTCTCCTTTCCTGTTGTTACCCCCACGTTCGTACTTAGAAGACTACATTTCCCAGAAGTCTCCACTAGCAATGTCCCCAAAGCAAGAGAGCTCTTCCACCCACACTACTCCCATCTGGAATGGTGTCAGCCAGTAAAGAATTCTCCAGAGCCTCTGAAAGCAGGTAATTGAGAAGAGAATCAGTGTTTAGTTATAATGTAAATTGCAAGAAATGAGGATTAGAAACATAAAACATGATAAAATTATTCCAAAGAAATCAGTAATTTTGTTTTGTACTAATTAGGAAATATTTAAATTTCTTTCCATTTCAAAAGCAATTTTCATTCCCATTCTGGGTGAGCATCCTGCTCCCACTGAATGCAGCAATAAAATCGGAACAAAATACGCACACATGGGAGCTATGTGAGGCTTCTTAAGGGAGTCACCAGCAGGGCTAACTGGAGAAGGCAGCCACATGGCGGTAAGTCACTGGAGTGGCAGGAATTTAGCATTTTTGTTTCCTTGTATATCTTTCAGCCTGGTCTCTAGACAACAAACCCTGAAGCTGGGAACCAGAACAAGACAGCGGCCACTTCAGCTGGCTTTGCCTGCAGCCCCTTCAGCTGGCTCTGTCTGTAGCCCCTTCAGCTAACTCTGCCTGCAGCCCCTTCAGCTGGCTCTGCCTGGAAATTCTGGGAAGGGGACATCTGATGCTCAGTATGAATAGGGGAAGTTGTTTTCTCTTTTCAGATTTTTCTTCATTTTCTCAAAACTCAGTTCTTAGACAATCCTGTCCTGGCCTTTGGAACAGCAGGAAACTGCAGGTGGCTAAAACTCCTGGGAGGAGAAGTCACTCCAACAGAGTAGGCGTGGCCCTGCAGGAGGTGAGCAGCTGCTGGCTTTTGTCCCTTAGTACTCTTCTTCCCCTTAGCTCCAGATGCAGGCGCATATGTGGGAAGCTGGCCCAGGGCAGAACAGAGCAAATACAGCTCTCAGCTGCAGTTTTCTGATGAATCTCTAATAATGGTCATGATATAAACAGTACCTTTCTGTTACTAATAAACCAAGCCAAGAAGATGATCTTGAAAAGGCAGAGAAAAAGATACATTGACTTTATGGAGTTAATGTTTTGAATAATTGTGATTTCGTATCATAAACAATGGAAGGCAAAAGAAAATAAACAAACTTAATGAATGGTTAAAAGAATCGTCAACCAGACTGTAATACCTAGCTAACATATCTTTTAAGAATGAAAGTAAAACAAAGACATTCCGAGAGAAAGGGAAGTTAAGAACACCACCGGTGGCCTTGCTGTTAAGAACTGAAGACAGGAGCTAGAGAGATGGCTTAACAGCACCCAGCTTCAGTTCCTAGCAACGACATGGCAGCTCATGACTGCAGTTTCAGGGAATCTAACACCCTCCCCTCATGCAGGCGTACATGCAGGCCAAACACCAATGCACATAAAAAAAAACCAAAACAACAACAACAAAAAGCCTGAAGACAGTTCTTTTAGACAAAAGGCACAGGAGGGAAATGGCATCTCTCCAAGTAACTGGAGACCACCCTTCTCTTAATGATCTTTACAAAGCTGTGGAAGTTATGACTGTTGACAGCAACATTATGTCTGCCTGGTGAGGTTTTTGTTACCAAACATTACATGAGCTACATGTTGTGAATCAAAAGACAAACAATGTTTAGAAGTTTAAAAGGTTCATTTTAGCCCAAATTTCTGAAACTCGCAATAGTCAGGATGGGAGAATCTTGGAGTCCCTATAGTTCCTGCATTCTGAGTCCCCACAAGAACTGGGACTAGAGACACAGTTTGAGATGGACCCTGGCTCTGACATGGAAATTTGCAAGTTCCTGACTGCTGGATTTGATCTGAAGGAGGTAGGGGTTGAGACTTGGTTCATCCAGCACAGGCATGAGGAGGAGTAGGAGGGACTGTGGGCCTTTGTGTTCTACCTCAGCCCAAGCAGCCTCCTATTCTATCAATGCCATGGCACCTGCTGCTGCCATTCTGAAAGCTGTTAGGTCAGGCTCCCTTCCATAAACCCCAAGGAGTCCTTGCTAAGAGATCTATAGTACTGGGTGAGCAGGACAGCCCGGGACCATCTCTGGAGCCCTTGGCCTCCCAGGACCACCAAGCTCCCCACAATGTTGGAAGCATTCCAGAGACTTTGAGTCTCTGCTTCAATATCTGGGAACCAAGATGGATATGACATGACAATGAACCAAGCCCCAAAGATTTTTTAATCTAAAGAGAGGCATCTACTATGCCCCTTAGGGCACTGGCTTTCAATCTCTGGATTGTAACCCTTTCACAGGGTCGCGTATCAGATATCCTGCATATCAGGTTACAATTGTAAAAGTAACAAAATTACAGTAATGAGGTAGCAACTAAAATAATTTTATGGTTGGGGGTCACCATTAGGGTCATAGCATTAGGAAGGTTGAGAACCACTGCCTTAGTGTTGCAAGGAGGGCCAGCTTGTTTGTCCTGGCCGCCCGGCTAGCTTAGCCCCAAAATAACCACACAGAAATTGTATTTATTAAATCACTGCTTGGCCCATTAATTCTAGCTTCTTATTGGCTAACAATTACATCTCAGTTTAACCCATTTCTATTAATCTGTGTATTGCCACATGGCGGTGGCTTACCAGGAAAGATTCGGCATGTCTGTCTCTGGTGGCTCCGTGGTGTCTCTCTGACTCTGCTTTCTTCTTCCCAGCATTCAGTTCTGTCCTCCCTGCCTACCTAAGTTCTACCCTATCAACTAGGACAAGGCAGTTTTTTTATTCATTAACCAATGAAAGCAACACACAAACAGAAGGACCTCCCACACCATTTCTCCTTTTCCGTTTAAACAATAAGGAAGGCTTTAACTTTAACATAGTAAAATTACATATAATAAACAGGTATCAAATAAAATTACAGTTACAATATTTATGTCTACTTTATCTTTTATCATAACTAAGGAGAACTATAACAACTGTGAATTCTTTAACTCTATCAAAGACCTCAGAAGGATATAATATTACCTAAGTAAACAGGAAGTGCATTGTAAGCCACTTCCAAAATTTTAGAATTGAAAGAGACATCTCGCTGCCTGGACAGTCACCCAAAGTTCTTTTGTACCGTTGGGGAATCCGTCTTTAGCCTACAGGCCCATAGTATCCAGCAGCCTTTTCCACGAAGCAGGAAAATTTAAAGACAGTTCCACCTATATTGCAGTTTGTCTGACACATTTTTCTATATCCTGCAGAATGTCTTGCAGACTCTTTTGTGAAGCAGGAACCCCGAAGGATCCTCTCATCTTTAGGCAAGTTTAACAGTCATTGCTCTGTGGGTCCTGCATGTCCAGTTTATGCAACAGTTTCTTGCCCAAATGGCTAACCAGCTTCATAAGGAGCCTCTTTGATGCCCATCTTCCTCTTGAAGTAGATTGGTGCTGCCAGGAGCAAATGAGTCTCATTGTCATGAAAAGTCCTAAATTCTTAAACATTTTAAATGCCATACTCTAAAGGTTTCTGAAAGAATTGAAGAATCCGGGGCTGGAGAGATGGCTCAGTGGTTAAGAGTACTGACTGCTCTTCCAGAGGACCCGGGTTCAATTCCACATGGCAGCTCACAACTGTCTGAAGATCCAGTTGCAGGGGATCTGACACCTTCACACCAATAAACAATAAAAAATATTTAAAAAAAAAAGAATTGAAGAATCCCTATCCATCTGAAATACTTTTCTATACTTCAAGTCTGGTGTTTCATTACCTTCCTGCCCAAAACACCTACGCATGTGATTTACTTCAGCAATTTAAAAGTACTTTCTCTGTAATCCTCCAGGTTTGTGACCTTAAACAAGTCAAAACTTCAATTCTTTTAAGATTTTGCAAAGCTACTACTGTACTGAGATCTTTGATTTTGTTTTCACTGAGACTGAGGTAGGTAAGGTTTAGACATTTCTCTGTCACAGCTTCCAAGTGGAAATTATATTGCTAAGTTCCAACTCCCCAAATTTAAGCTGGGAAGTCAAGTTAATTCCACATTCACCAAACTCAGAAACTCACGTCCTTTTAAAAGTGCCATTCAGACCCTCAGTCCCCTCCACCCCTGCCCAGTTCCTTCCCCTTCAGTGACTGCTTGGAGATTAAGAGTTTGTTTCTTAAAATTTAATTTTATTTGTACGAGTATTTGCCTGTGCATATGTTTATGTACTGTGTGTTTGAGGAGACTAGAAGAGGGTGTAGGATATCCCCTAGAAAAGGGTAGTTATAGATAGTTGTGAGCCTCCATGAGGGTGCTGGGAATTAAACTTGGGTCCTCTAGAAGTTCAGTCAGTGCTCTTAACCCCTGTGCACCTGATTGATGGGTTTTGATGCTCAGTGACACAGGGAATTCAAAAATGTTTTCGTCTGTGCCCACATTTGCCCCAATGATATTTCTTATTATTGTGTAGCTTTTGATTTAGCATACTTATAAGTAAAACTATATATATATATTTAATTTCATCTTAGAAATTAGATTGTATCTTTATATTTCACATAAAAATTTTGGTTGTAAAAAAGGAACATAGATAAAAAATATTCAACAAAAATATTATCAAACCTACAAGTGTGGTGGCAACTCCTTTACACAGAAATTAAGAAGCAAAGGCAGAAGATCTCTGTGAGTTCAGGTCAGCCTGGTCTACAATAGAGTTTCAGATCAGCTATAGCTACATAGTGAGACCCTGTCTCCCCCCTCCCCCGCAAAAAAACCCCAAAAACAAATAAACTGAAGCTCTCATATTTTATTATAAATGCAAAATGGTATAACTTCTGGCAAATAATTTATTATAAATTTAAATATGCATTTACATGACTTAGAAATGCTACTCAGAGAAATAAACACTTTTAATTGTATAAAACTATATATACTTATAGCTCTAAAATTATAAAAATTGGAAATAACTGTCTTTTAATGGGTAAGAGTATAAATGAGCTGATATATCTAGGCAACAGAATACTACTTGGCTTCTAAAAGGAACAAAATGCGGATACATGAAAGCACTTGGATGAATCTCACTGAATCTTTCACTGAGTGAAAGAAACCACGCTCAGAAGGTTACATGCTACATAATTCCGTTTATATAACATTTCCAAAGAGACAAAAGTGTAGTCATGGAGAATGGTGGCCAGCTATTAGAATAGAGGGACTACCACAAGGGGATAACCTGGAAAGGATTTTTAAAAACTTATTTATTTATATGCATTGATGTGAAGGTGTCAGGTCCCCTGGAACTGGAGTTACAGACAGTTATGAGCCGCCATGTGGATGCTGTGAATTGAACCTGGATCCTCTGGAAGAGCAGTCAGTGCTCTTAACTGCTGAGCCATCTCTCCAGCTCCCTGAAAAGGATTTTATAAAGGTGGTCTGACTATGTCTAGACTGTGGTGATGGAGATATATATCACACACACTTACATAAATATATAAATTATAGGCCTGTACACCAAAAATCAAGCCAATTAATTTCTGCATTAATTTGAAAGTAAAAATATTTAAGACAACTCTGTTATTTGTATCTTAAATATACTCAAAGAATCTCTTTAGAATTGAACTGTTTTACAATGTAACCCAGCACCATTATTTACAGTGCCATAGGCCACTTTTTATAGAGTATTTTGAAGTTCGTAGAGCATATGAAAAATTTTGACTCAAACATCAACTAAGAAAACAAATGCTTTTGCTGTCTAAAATGTTCCATACACACGAATTAAAAGAGCATCTTTTGCAGTTGTCTTTACTAAGATAAAACATTAACAAGTGTCTGCCAGTTTTTTGTTTTGTTTTTTAACATAAGCAGATTTGGTTTTGCTAGAACATTAACGGTGACCATAAAAGTTATTAAATATTAAATGAAAAAGTTAAATGGCCCATAACCAGATTTTAAGTAACTCTGGTAATTTAAAACAAGTTTTATAGTTCTTTAACTAAGATATTAGATTAAAATCCAGGGAATTAGGTACTATCAATGATGCTACAAAGCAGATCAAATAAACTAATGTCTACAAGTAAGAAAATATTAACTATTCACTAACTCCACAAACTTTAATAATCCAATGTAAAACAGTCTTTACAAAACAATCTTGAATATTTCCTGGAGGTACACTATGTTTTATCATGTACCATAAACACAATCTAAATGTGTTTAGATGTGGCAATGATAAATGCATACATTCAAATCAGTTAAGTTAAAAATGACTTAACTGTCCCCACATAGGTTTCCAATTCTGGTTGTGATTGCTCTGTCCCTAGATAGAAAATGGGAGGCCAGCCTGTCTGTGAAGTGGCCAGACACCCGCTGCTTCCAGACAGCTTCTCCAGCAAACTGGAGTCTATGCAGCAGTGCCAGTGATGGCACACACCTGCATGCTCTGGATCTCTCTCACATCTTATGGAACATTGGTCCCACTGTAACTATAATATCTGCATAGGGAACACTCTGGCTCAGTTCAATAACTCGATGTTTTTTTAGGATAAGAAAGGTATAAAATTTGGCAGCTGTCTGTTTCCGGTCACAATTTCTGCATAGCTTTATCAGACTAAAAGACTGCATCCCCATCTTCTTGTATTCCTGGGAAAATAATCAGAAAAGAGAAAAGAAAAGGGAAAAAATATTAGAAGTAATGCAGTCTGCAGATGTACAATGAACAAATACTGCAATTCTTGATAAGCTATGATATCTTTAAAAAGAGTAACAGAATGGCTCTAATAAATGTGTAAAAACATAGATCACCGAGACCAAACCTGTTTTACTGAGAAAATGCATCAAAACTACTAAGGTTTATACAAATTTATGTGTTATATAAATATTAGTTTTTAAAAAGTGATATTAACATAAATATTTCTTATGGAAAGTGCAATTAGTTTCATCTTAAAAACAGAAAAAACCCACAGGACTTTGTGAGGTTTCACATATAATAAATAATAAGTCCACTGTGGGTCTTCGCCTTAAAGGCATTAGAGAAGCCTGTAAAATAACCTTCGCAGTACATGTGGAAGTGCACCTGTTGGTTTCAGTGGCTGGGTAATGTAGCTATGTAAACATCTCCTGGCTGGAGTTATCACACGGTGCCTGTACACCTACTAAATAAGTGAGATACAATACAGTATTAAATTGTAGAGGAACATAGCACTTCCAATGGATACTAGGATTTGGAATTAGATTCTTACAAAAGCATAGTTTTTATTTACCCAGAAATACTGGACCAAATACTTGCCAGTGTTTTATACCTATCTTACACGCCAGTGTCTTATACTTATCTTTGGGTGATTGTAAAGCACTTTTAGGAATGTCAATACTAGTTTTTGACAGTCTAAAATACTTACAAATTAATGGGTAAAATACTTTATTGTACAACAAGCAACAATAGAGAAGTCTAATTAATAAATATTTTGTGTTTGAGTGTTTTGCCTGAATGTATGTTGTATAACCCATGTGCGCCTATGGAAGTCAGAAGAGGCTGTCAGATCCCCTGAAACTGGAGTTAAGATAGTTGTAAGCCACCATGTGGATAGTGGAAATCAAATCTGGGTTCTCTGCAAGAGCAAGTGCTCTTAACCACTGAGCTGTCTCTGATTAAAACTACCCAATAAATCAATACAATAAACTTGAAACAAACAAACAAAAAACCCTCAGAGTGCATCATCATGAAATTTCAGAGCACTAGAGACAAATAAAAGTTCTAAACGTCTCCAGAGAGAAAATAAAAATCACCACAAAAGATCTTAAAGTAAGACAGTGCATGGTTTCAACAACAACAGAGAATCCTAGATATGTACAAACCTTTTTTTAAAAAAAGAGATAACTAACCAAATAACACAACCATAAAATTTACATGAAAATAATTATAATCACACTATGAAGCCTCAGTGAAAACTTATTATTTATATAACCTTTGAAACAGAAACTGACAGTCATCCTTATCAACTTTTCTCTTCTATATTTAGGCCTAGGTATATCACTTAAAACCGTTTCACTTCAGTGGACTTTTGTTGTCAACAACAAAATATAAAAAAAATCTTGTTTTCATAAATATCTGGATGCTCAAATCAATATATTATTTATTTTTTAGTATCAAAATCAAGGTCTAGGGAAATAGTTCAGTGGATGAAGTGCTTGCTCTGCATTTATAAGGACTGGAGTTCACGTCTGCTCAGAGGCAAGGGATCTCCAGGGCAAGCTCATTAGCTAGACTGGCTTGAATCAGTAAATTCTGGGGTCAGTGAGAAGCCTTGTCTCAGGAAACAAAGTGGAGAGAGACTGAGGAAGCCAGTTGTGGCCCACAATATACAAGCACCAGCATATACATGCACCCCCATACAAGAACATGCATATACATGTGCACATACACTACATGTGCATAAACACACACAAAGTAAGTAAAATAAAAATACCATCTTACCCGTAATTCATTTAATGTCTGAAATAATTGTTGATTCCATTTCTCTGCCTCAGTATTTTGTTTGCTAACTGATGACTCCTGTTTGAATGATTAATAAATATTTCATTTAAGCAATTTTTATTGACTGTTTACTATTCACCAAGCACTGCATTAGCTTCTACAGAAACATAACTGTAACACAGTCCTGCCCAAAAAACGTCTGGTTTGATAAAGAAGAGAATGGCACAAACACGAGACAATTATTGTGCAATAGAGTCCTCAAGATTAAAACATTCCATCCTACAGGAAAGCTAAGTAACCCGGCATGTATACTCCTATAAATAACCCCAATAAAACTCACTGGCTCACCAAGCTGGACTTTGTATATGTACATTGGTCTATTGTGGGTTTCCTGTCTGGAGTGAGTAGACATGTGTAGTGCGTATCCCCAGCAAAAGTTTTGTCACACAACGAAACCTGTACAGGGTTGTACCTTGCCTCCAGGCATGCCTTCTGATAAAGAGATCCAAAGCAGGAGACTGCAGTTTTAACTGGTGATGCAGCTCAGAGCTTGTGCCCTTATGTACTTTGAAAAGTAAAGTTAGCAAAGTCACCCGCTTTTGGTTAGGATTTTCAGTTTGGCCAATCTGAACTCCAGTGACAGGAGTACACAGAAAAATTAGAGAAAATCTGTTGTTGCAAGGCCTTTATATGAACTAGCTGATGACATAAACACCCTTAAAAATGGTTTAAGAGACCTTTCAGATTTTTGAGGTACTTTGTCTACATAAGGCTAACTCGCTGTCTGTCATCTGATTGGTTTACTCTTTTTTTGTATTTTAAAGCTGAATCACTTCCATAGACGGTTTGATATTTAGTAGAATCTCTCACAAACTAACAACTCATGAGCCGTGAGAATGGGGTCTCGGCTCAGGAAAGGTATTGATCTATCTGATAAAAACAACAGTAACAATAACAACAAAGAAAACAGAACAGGCTGCAAAGGACTATGGGTGAGAAGTAGCAGTTCTGACCTATTTTATCAGTTTTTCTGCACTAGTTCTGACCATAGTGTGCAACAGCAAACAAAGCACTGAAACAAACAAAGAGGCTATAGAGATCACACAGTAGTTAAAAGTGCTTACTGTCCCTGAAGAGGACCTGGATTAGGTTCCTAGCACCACATCAGGTAACTGACAAGTATTATAACTCCAGTTCCCGAGGATCCAATGGCCTCTTATGGCCTCTTCAATCACCTGTTTGCACATAAATTCATGTAGGCACACATATATGCACATAAATAAAAATAATAAATCTAAAAATTTAACACCAGGACCTAATAGGTGATTTGATAGTTGTTTACTGAACAACTTTTGATAAAATACCTTTTTTTTTTAAAATATTTATTTATTTATTTATTTATTATGTATACAATATTCTGTCTGTGTGTATGTCTGTAGGCCAGAAGAGGGCACCAGACCTCATTCCAGATGGTTGTGAGCCACCATGTGGTTGTCGGGAATTGAACTCAGGACCTTTGGAAGAGCAGGCAATGCTCTTAACCACTGAGCCATCTCTCCAGCCCTAAAATACCTTTAAATTAAAAAATGCCCTCAGTACTCTGGGATAAGGTTCAAAGAAGTAATTTGGGGGCCGGAGAAATGGCACTGGCTGTTCTTGCAGAAAACCTGGGTTCGATTCCCAGTACCAACATGGTGTCTTACAACCACCTGTAACTGCAGTTTCAAGAGACCCAAGCACCTTCTTCTGGCTTCCTAGGTACCAGAACATATATGGTGTACTTTCATACAGATAAAACACTTGAACATATAAAAATTTTAAAATCATAAAAAGATTTTTATTTTATGTGTATGTATGCATGTGTATATTTTTTTTTAAAAAAAGGAAACTAGGCTGTGGTGGCAAACACCTTTAATCCTAGTACTCAGGAGGCAGATCTCTGAGTTCAAGGCCAGCCTGGTATACAGAGCTAGTTCCAGTACAGACAGGACTACAAAAAGAAACCCATCTTGAAAAATGAAAGTAAGAAGGAAAGAGAGAAAGAAAGAAACCTGGTAGTAATGCATAGGGAGCCAGTGAATAAAATTTGTGCATTTACTATCAAAATGTGACTTTTTAAACAGACCATTTTCTGATTTTAAGCATTTTCATTTTCTGATTTTAAAACTTTCATACAGATACAAGTTTTGCGCCAATGATACTGATGAAGAGATGCTCACACTATTTTTTAAAAAATAAAACTTATGTCCTAGGTTATATCCTAATATAGTATAATTTCCAAAGATAAGAATGATTTAAAACAGTGATTCTCAGCATTTTAAAACATGCCCCTACTTTTGATAAGAATAAAAATTGTACACTTTCCTTTATTTAGACTCTCAAAATAATTTATGTATAAGAAAAAGTTCACCAAATGATTCACAAATATCTCAGCTGTTGTGTGAGTTATAGTAGCTGGGGTTATGTAGTATAAGCTTGCTTCAAACTCATGATTCTGCTGTCTGGTAAGGGCCACCAAGCCCAGCTAAATGTATTTCTTGAGATCATAAATTTAAATTATAAACTTATAAATAAACATGGAAATTCTGCAAGCCAAATAAATAAATTTTAATTAAATAAATTAAATAACATTTAGGAAGACAACTTTTAAGAATATTTCTTTCTTCCCTATTAGTCACTCCTCCTACTTCCATGACCTTTTTTTTTTTCAATACACTGAGTATAAGTAAGGATTCCTAGAGTTGGTGGGAGATATGCTAGAATAATGGAGAGTAAATACGATTACCATGTACATTCTGTATATGTATGAAATTTCCAAAATTAAGTTAAATCTAAAAATAATTAAATATGAAGAAAATTGTCCAAAGACTATAATATATTTACCAATTCAACTGGACAATTTTCTTGGGCCAAGGAAGCATTCATTGAAGATAATCTCTTAGCAGCTGGAGAAGCCATATCAAAGATATCCTGCCAAAGAAAATTCAGAAGTTACAGGTAATTCTGCTAGTGGTTATAATATGAACAACTCTCAATTTTATTAAATGATTTATTAATATAAACAATAATTTTGCAAACTAATTTAACCTATTGTCTTAGTTAGGGTTTCTATTGCTGTGAAGAGACACCATGACCACAGCAACCTTTATAAATAGGAAAACATTTAATTGGGGCTGGCTTACAGTCTATTACCATGATGACAGGAAGCATGGTAGCATGCAGGCAGACATGGTGCTGGAGAAGCAGCCAAGAGTTCTACAACTTGATCTGTAGGCAGCAGGAACAGAGTGTGACACACTTCCTCCAATAAGGCCTCATAATAGTCCCACTCCCTATAGACCTATGGGGGTCATTTTTATTCAAACCACCATATTCCACTCCCCAGTCCTTATAGGCTTGTAGCCGTAATATAATGCAAAATGCATTTAGTCCAATTTCAATGTCCCCATAGTCTATAACAGTCTCAAACTTGTTTAAAAGTCTAAAATTCAAAGTTTTTTCTGAGACCCATGCGATCTCTTAACAGTAAGTCCATGCAAAATCAAAATGAAAAAGCATAGCATGTATTTTCAACATATAATGGCACAGGATGTACCTTACAATTCCAAAAGGGAGCACAGTGAGGAAAGACTAAAACAAGACTTAAAAAATAGCTGGGAAAACTCCAAACTCTGCATCTCCATGTCTGATATCAAAATACTTTTCAGATCTCCAACTCTTTCAGCTTTGTTGACAGCAACACACTTCTTCCTTTTGGGTTGGTTCCACTCCCTGTTAGCAGCTTTTCTTGGCAGGTATCCTACAGCTCTGGTATCTCTAACATTTTGGGATCTCCAAGGTAATCCAAGCTTCAACTTCACAGCTTCACACAATGGCTTCTCTAGGCCTCATTGCCTGGACACTTGTGACATATGCTTGGTACTTTCTCTGTAGACCAGCCTGGCCTCAGATTCAGAGACTTGCCTGCATTTGCTTCTCGAGGGCTAGAATTAAAGTGGGCACCACTCTGCCTGGCCTTGTGCTTTTCTTTAACTCTTCACAAATTAGAAGCTTAGCTGGGTGGGGCCTTGCTCTGAAGTCACCACTCCTTTTATTCCACTTAGTATCTGGCCTTTCTTTAATCTGTTTACACTTCCTGGTACTCCTTTTCTCCTTAAATGGTACATTTTTATATTTTTCCTTGATCACCTTACTCTTTTTTATTATATATCTGCATAAGAGTGAACACTAACAGAGTCCATATTAGGTTGTTTTGAGATTTCCTCTGCGAATGCAATTAATCCAAAACATTCTAGGAAATGTCCAAGCCCCCAAAAGGCAGCTAGCATGGTAACTCACAGTGTCAGTGTGCAGTATATTATCAAGCATTTAGTCAAACATGCTCTGTTTTAATGTATTCTGAAATTGTCTTCCCTCCCAGTTAATACAGTTCTGATGTGGATTAAGTGAATTTTCTGAATGGTTTTCAAAATACAATGAGGAGGGCATCTTCTTCCCAAGCTCCCCCTTCCCTGCTTTACAAAGAGTCTTTCTCTCTGTGCTTCCTATGTGTTTCCTCACTCCTAAGAAAAACCTTTCTTCATCAGAAAAAAATTAACCATGATGATAGAACATACCTGAGAAACATTGTTTTTATTTTTATCATTAAGACCCTAATATTTAAGTAACAAATGAGAAGGTATTTTATATTATTTTTTCAAAATAGGGTTTCTCTGCCCTAGCTGTCCTGAAACTCTGTAGACTAGGTTAGCCTCAAAGTCAAACATCTATCTGCCTCTGACTCCTGAGTGCTAGGATTAAAGGTGAGCACCTCCATGCCCAAATATTATAAATTTTCCTATGTTTTAAAACAAAACTGTCTTCAAAGAAAATTTTTGTTTTCCTGTTCCTTCAGAGTGACAAAAGTATTTTGTTTTGGTCATATACTTTTAGAAAGTCTTTCAAAATTAAGGTAAAGATAGTTGAGAAGTTTAAAATGTTGTTCTTAGAAGAAAAATATGGGTGAATTTATGATGAGAAACAATACACAAATGTCCGGTTAGAGTTGTAGGAGACCCCATAACTCATGCAAAATATACAATATACAACCAGATTCAAGCACAATCACTCATTTGCTATGTCATATAAAATACTGCTTCAGCATGAAACTACCTTATCTTGTAATTCACATCCTAAACTTCAGAGGAATATTGTCTTGCAGATTAAAATTATGTTTTATCTTATAGTAATGACACTTAGAGAAACTGTTGAACAACATGAGATGAAATATGAACTGCATCTGTAAGAATATGTATTAGCCTCTCAATATTACTTCACTAGAGTTGCATAAAAATATTTCAGTGATTATCTCTGGTTAACTTACCTCAGAGTTAATATTCATAGTGATATCCTGCTGAAAGCTACCCGTAGATCCATCAGTCACATCATTCCAAACCTGGAGCTGATCTAAGTCTCTATGGGAACTCGGCTCTTCTGTCACTGAGGGCTCTTAAGTGAAGAGAGTGTTATCCAAGTGCATTTCAGACCTGAACTGGCATATGACTATTCAAAAAGAAAACTTCTGGCCAGTAACTTGGAATCTACTATTTAATTGAGGAGTGTCCAACTTTCCCAACTCTACTGAGTCTCACATAATTTATATCTTCCCTTTCCCCTCCTCTGCTTCTTTATCATTTCCACTCCCATCCTCCTCCGTTCATCCTCACTCACACACTCACTCACAGGACAACAGGAATAGTTTAAGTTCACTGTGGTGTACTATTTTGTAAATTTTAATGACTTCAGAAATGGTGACTGGGAAAGGAAGTTTATTCATCACATAATGTAAAGTAATGGTTACACTACTTTATAACTGTCACAGCAATAATTAGCTATTATTAACATTCTGTCAACTTCATTCTAGGCTGAGGGTGATATTGGCCTTAGGATAGTTGTAATATTTAAGTACATTCTTATCACTATCTGAGTTTTAGGTTGTTTTAAAATGAAACATTATTCTGCTAGAAACAAAGATTTTTCTAAGAGTTGGTGAATACTGCCTTCAGGGTGGAGGAGGTTAGAGAAAGAGAATATATAAATATACACACACATAAATAACATCTTTTGTATGTGTGTAGAGAGGATACTGGGTATTAAACCTAGGGTCTTACACATTCTAGGCAAGTACTCTCCCACTGAACTACATCACCTGGTCCTTTTAGTGTGTTTTAGCTTGAGACAGCATCTAACTAACTTGACCTAGCTGGCTCTGAACTTGCTCTGTAACCCAGGCAGGCTTTGAACTTGCAATCCTGCCTGAGTGTGTGGTTATTACAGGCCTGTGACACAAGGACTGGCCTATATTTTATCTTTTCAGTGACATCTTGGAACAGATATTAATGTGAAAAGCAGAAAAAATGCTATACTAAGGTAATATTTTAAGTTTAAAATACTATTCTATAGATAGTGATTATATTTGACAATACAGATTTGAGCCTAGTTTTCATTCTGAGACGTAGAGTTCAATTTTTGTTTACACAACATTCTCCTTGACATTAACAGAATTAGGAAATCTTACCTAAAATGTTTTTGGTTCCCACTTCTTTCCTTACTGACTCCTTCTGTATAAGTTTTAAGTCAGAGGACAGGAAGCATCTTGCAAACAACTGTAAAAACACATTTATATTCTTGATTTTATATTAATAAAGCAATTCAATAAAGCACAAGCACATATGCTAAAAAGTAAAAGCCATTCATACACAATTTTCCAAGCTTGGCAGAGTGGTGCACACCTTGGAGAAAAAGGCAGGTGTATCTCTGTAAATTCAAGGCCAGGCTGATCTATGTAGTGAGTTACATAATGCGATCGTGTCTTGGGAGGGAAAGCCATTTATACACAATTATTAAACAAATTAAGTTTTAAAATAATGGTTTCTTTTCCCCACATGTCCAATTACATTGTAAATATAAACATATTTATTTAGAAACAAACATCATATCCATGCAAAAGGATGAAAACAATTACCTTTTTCAGTTCATCATGAATCAGATCCTGGGTAGCAGTTGATAGAAGTGTATCCACTCCTCCCCTCTTCTTCCACATCATCAATCTTTGTGTGGGGGGTGCAAGGTCCAGAACCATGAGGGTGTCAACAAAGGAAGTAAGCTGCTTATGCATAGTCTTGCTACTTATCTCCTTGACTGGATCTATGAGCAACCTCCTCTTTTTGTTTTTCCTTCTCTCAGCAATGTCTAGAGGGAAACAGGCATAAATGGACTTAGAAAGTTTTGTAAAATGATATTCTAGGCTACTATATATCTAAGGAAAGGATATCACAAATAACCTGCAGAGTTGCACTGGGAAGAAAATCCTTCTGTTCTTTGAAAAAAAAAGCTTTGTAAAGTTTTTGCAAAGTTAGAGTATCTGAACAGTCAAAAGTTGATACATTTTTCAAAGTATTGTTTGAAGGTGCTTAAGAGGGTCCCTGTTCACTTGTTAAATGGGCAACTGCAGAAAAATGGCAAACAGGGAGTGAGCAGTTAAAGAATCTGGAGCTTTTCTTTTCTTTTTAAAATGTGGAACACGATAATGTTTCAAAACATTAATGTGTATCTCTCCAGCGTATTTCACCTCCTGCACTGAAATTCATATATGAATTCTAAGTAGGCAGCTAATTCCACACCATGCAGAAGGCAGATGTCAAGCTTGTCTTTAGTAAAGCTGAAAATGTTTTGAATTGAACTCGGTTTTTAAATTTCCAGTTTTCCAAACTAAACATACGATTTGAACAGGACTAGATGTGTTGAAAGAATTACCTCTGATAGCTTTCATACTCGTTTCCTATTTAATGCCCAGTGCTATTATCATGCTGCAGTCTTTTGTAACATTCTATGGATGTTTGCATATCTCAAAGCAATTAAGATACCAGGGTACCAAAGATAAAAATAAAAACATGAGACCTCTTACTAAACCATCAATTGGGTCAAGAGTAAGCCTTTCTTCTTCATCTGATGATGTTGTTTCATCTACTTTTTCATCTTCAGGTAGGCACTGGTCATCTGAATTACCTGGTTCTACTAATAAAAGCAAAAACAGAAGCATATGACTATGCTACACATTAGAAGACAATATGAGAAATAAAGTAGAAAAATAATTGTGGAAATATTGCTAGCTGGGATGATACATTAATTCTTAGAATAATGAACTGTAACAGAGGCAAAGAAGTTCAGGAATAAATGGTCTGGGACCCTCAACTTTTGAGTGAGTCAAATAGCATCACCCTCATTTACACATGAGATAGCTCAGGCTGGGCTACAGTCACATAGAAGTTAAAACAAAACAAAAAAGTGACTGATAAAAATTTGCTACGACAACTAAAGTATCTATGTTCTGTTGAACCGCCAATTGACCCATAAAGAACCATAGCTAAGTTTTGAATGCCCAAAACTTTTTGTTTTTAATTTTGATTATTGTGTCACAAAACAAATGCAACATCAAACATTGTGAAAACAATGTTTTTATATTTTGTTTTTAATACTTAAGGAAATAATAAATAAAACAATGTTTTGATTACATTTTTAATACTTAAGGAAAAGTCTATCTTCAAGGCATCAACTCATCTGAGGAATTTTGGTAAGAATTTCAATTAAAGAAAAATAAGCTCAGTTGATAGTTTATAACTTCTCTCAAGCGGTACACCGATTGTCAAGTCATACAGTGTGATAATTTTTCTTCCCATATAACGTATTATTCTTTTAGGATTTGAAAGTATACTGCTTGAGAAGAATAAATATGCTCTACTAAAGCCAATCCTGGTTAATTACTTTTTCAGACTC